CCATAACAAACCTTGTATGGCACAACATAATTGACAAGTTTTTGTAGTGTTTGCTCATCTTTATCCACGCGTTTTCATGACAAATCGAGAAAACGGAAAGAACTTTCGGATTACCTAAGACAATCTATATTGAATGCCATTTGTAATAAAAAAAAGGACCTCTCTTAGTCTTCATGAATATGCTGTGCTTGTGGAAATCAAATAAATTGCAAGAAAGAGATCAACCTTTTTAGCAGTTGTAAAAGTTATGATGACTGATATGCAAATAAAAATAAAAATTCAATTTTACTTGCTTTGCCCATTTTTAGATAACATCAAGAGCACTTGTACAAGCATATACCCATCGGATAGAGCAGGTACGATGTTTTATAAATTTACGCTAATATTTTGCAAAAAACAAGATGACTGACAAAACTTTAATCTACTTTTTTTCGACTGTACAGCGGTTGATTTTTACCGTCTACAATCTTCACTTTAACAGCTCCTATTCCCAATTGTCATTTTGATTGCTCCCATAGAATATACATACATATATTATGCATTATATTGAAGTTAATTGTTCCCTATTTCTTCCACAAACACCATTTTTGAAGTGACGCTCCGAGTTTTGAGCGTTGGAAACCCTCTGTAATCCTAAATTTATCTGCAATCACTCCCTGGCCCCTCCTTTTCTAAACATCTTACTTTTAAAACATCAGAATCAGTTAGAGCTAGGGGTAAAGAAGGGGCTACTGTTCCAGGTAAACGAGATTCTCAATGCTGTTGTTGTTCGGATATTCGATGAAGCAGTCAAGAAAGCGGAGGAAGTTGACAGAGAGATAGCAAACATGAACGATAAGCAACTCGCAGAGGTAAAAATCCAAAACTTAGCACAACTTGCAAAAATTCAGTCTACAAGAAATGAAAATCATTTCAGTACGCGAAATCCAGGCCACTTCTGGGCGTTCCGTTCACGGTAAAAGATACCGTCAAAGTAGAAGGGCAGATTATCACCTGTGGTGTGTACTCTCAGAGAGATAAAAGGTGTACGAGGTCTGCCGAAGTTATCAAGAGGTAAGATTCTAAATCAAGCACTTGAATCTAGA